GCTGAACTGCACTACGTATGTCGTTTAGGTAGATGAAACTGTTGACTCTGTAAAGAAAACCAGTCTCGGCGGCACTGCAACCCGTACAAAATCACTTGGCTTGGTCTTAACAGATTATTCAACCTAAACATTGTTAGTAATTGCTTAGTGGTACCCATTGATCACAGATATTAGAAAAGTTCAGAAAACTTTGCTCTAAGAAATATTTATGAGCTGTTAAGGGAAGATGTCATTCGAATAAGCTTTTTCGATCCTCTTTTTTTGCCATATCGACAGAGTATTTAATCATGGTTTAGTACGTCTTTTTTTCAGGTTATTTCTCGAGATTCATGTGGCGTGAGCGCGTTTTTACGTTGTCTACAGAATTGTATAACCGTTCGCCTTTGTCCTGAGTGGAATCGAGTTGGACATATCTACGTAAAAGGTATGTTTTTTGCGTCACTTATGTCTAACATTGTTTATTGCGTTCCAGTGATTTTCCATGAAATTTATTACATATTAGTATTAAATTTGTTTTTACATTGGTTTAGTTTCGTTCGCATTCAGTTTGAATTATGAATATTTTTTATTAGTCAGAATCTCATTCCTCCGTTTTTCTGATCGTTCTCATCACAAACGTTTGGCTTCCGTATGCTCGAAGCGGATCAACCGAGTTAAAGCACAAACAGCACGTCAACATATAGAGTATTCTTCAAAACGTTGTTTTTAATACGTGTCGTCTGTGGGTGTAAAACTAATACCTACAGCTTTTGAATATGTGCTTAGTGGATTGGTGTCGGCAGAGGGCTCTTCGCTTATAACCGTATTATGGTGCGTCATGATTTGGTATTTGTAACGTTAATTTTCGCCTACTTAATCTGGGTGACTTCTGCTATGGGTCAACTTTTGCACTTAGATTTATTGTTGCATGTTCTGTAACGTATTTCGGTGTTTTTTTTCAAAATAGAATTTTTCAGTGTTATCAATTGCTTTTTGTAATTTCATTGCATGGTCGTTCGCATGGTACTAACTTGTGTATTGCTAGGATCCGATTTCCTGGAATGCTTAGGAAAAAGGCGGCTTGAAGCGATGAGTAGTTCAACGATGCTTTTTGCTTGTTCACGTGTACGCTAGAGTTTTCCAGGCATCTTTGTGAGCTACGCGGCGTCGAGAGTGACGCTGCGCCTAATGGCGCATGAACTAAAATCGTCGCAATTCAAGTATACTCCCTGCACACAAATTCAGAGGTGTGCCGTATTACCCAGGTATGTTTATGCAGCTTAATCTAGGTTTAGAAGCCGAAAACTCAATACTGCGCACATGTCCGGTGAATGTAACGCCTGATATTAAGCTTTGCGTAACTTCAGTTATGCAGAAAGGCATCAGTGGATTGTTGTGCCATTGACATGTCAGTTTTCATACTTGTAGCAATGTTGTAATTTTTGGATAATTGTGCGAAATATATTTTAGTTTATTTGCCATTTAGTGGCAATTTATTCATGCAATTAAAGATTCATTTTTCCAATTTTTTTAATCTCCTTTTTCATATTTTGTTTACATTTCTTTTTCCGCTGCTTTTATGTCTTCCTTTTGTTGTTCTTTTCTTGTTTATTCGTTAGCATCAAGGGTATCTCACTAACGAGATGATAAATCATTAGATTTCCGTTTGAGCTAAAGGTAGTCGTATAACTGTATTATCGAACTTTCAAACATTTTGCTTTAGTGGCTTTTGAGCAACGTACTTAGAAGCAACATAGCCGGTTGCGTAGGAAAAATCCCAGTTTAAGCGAGATTGTATAAATCTATTTGATGACCATGGTTATCACAGATAATAATTACGGGACCTCTGAAAGTATACTTTTAGGATCAGAATAATTAGATATTCATGCCCGTCGTTCTAGCATTCTGTATTGTTGCTTCACAATTGTTTCAGACTCACGATTGGTACCGTTGTTAAGATGGAACAAGGCATTTATAACCCAAAATTCGTAAACTTCGAGGCTTTGCGCGAATATTGGAGAAGTATGGTAATGATGGCGATCTTTGTTTTCCATTAACTCGAAATGAGTCCGTTTTAGTACGGATATATTCTGCCTGATAAAGACAGAAACAGTTCTTGCTTTTATGTTGCTTTTCCGTCAGACGGCACTAATTCATTTATGTAAGTATATGTGAAGTTTGATTTATAGTACTGTTCGAACTGCTCGATGTGCGTTGTCTTAAGTTGTTTTAGACTAAAGACGTCTTTGATCTTTCAAAAGTTAAACATATATTGATTGATGTACCTTCACTTTTAATGCACCTGTTCGCTCGTGCTTTCGATAGCGTCAGTTAAATGGAATTTTGAAGCTGGTAAGGAATCGGTTGCTTTTAGATCTTATGACTGATTAAGTTCACTTTATCCCTGAAGTTTGACTGAACAGTTCACAGCAAGTGATTCTTTTGTATTTGCATCTTTTTTATATAAGTGCTTTAGTACTGATGTCATGAGTTCTATACGATGGCATTGGAATGAACTTTTTTGATTTATTTGCAGTTAACGTCTTTATGCGCAATGATGCTGCCGCTTAATTTGTCGTTGTTTTCGCCATCCCGTGCGTTCGTTTCTTCGTCGTTCACTGTTCTTGTTTACCCTAAACGGACAACCATATCAGCACCGGCGGATTCTTAATAATTCACTGTCGCAGAGATCGCCCTTGTACCTTTTCTGTTCGGCGTTTACATTTTCGATGAAACGTCACCCTAGAAATTCGATTAGGCTGAAAATCATTCGTTATCAACAAAGGTCCAAAGTTTCCGTGAAACAGAGAACTGACTTCTGACATCTCCATCATTAAAGATTATTTCCATATGGTAGCTACGATCTAATCAGTAAAATCTTCGAGTCTGTATTACACTCCAAAAACAAAGCGAAGAAGTCGATTGAAGTAGTGATTTGTTGGTGAAGCGCGAAAACTGCTTGAAATGTCTTGGTTTCATTCTTGATGCATTCAAGAATCATTTTTTTCAGGGTGGCGAGCAAATTAAATCTTGAACTAATATGGTGCAGATGCTCGCACACTCTACCTTGAAATGCGGAAACCAGCTTTGTGCGCTCCTCTGTTCTCGCTCTTACCTTTTCTGGTTCAGAATGTTCTGTCTTTCATTGGTCAAGCAAAAAGTGCTCATGCCAACAAAGTGGATGTATAGCTGAACTCATTGATGCAGACAGTTACAGTTACATTGAAGTTCGTCGCTACGTCGTCGCTTCTTGTTACATATTCAGCGGCGAACCTAGATATAATTGAAAAGACTCAAACGCCTCAATTTTATAGCTATTTGAATGAAGGGCCTTGGTAATCAACGCTGAAATCAACAAGATAATTCTGAGGTGTTTCACAAAGCCAGGACATACCTTCTGGAAATAATACCTGACACAGTATGTAGCAGAACCGTTTCAGATAGACAAGAACTTTCCAGGACAGATAGACAAGAACGAGAACTAGAACTTTCCTAAATGAAAGTTTCGAGCTGATGACCATCTTGCTTGTCATTCAGTGACTTTCGAACTTAGGCATTCAAGCTTTCGAGTTTGATAATGCGCTCGTAAGCATTATATGAAATAGAAAAATGCTGCCTTTGATCCTGCTTATCCTCCGTATTCCATAATCATGAGTGGTTAATGACCGAAATAAAACAGATGACGAATCAGCGAAGAAATACAGAAGGAAGGCGAAGTTAGTATTAAAAATGGATGGTTTTCTTAAAAGGTCCAAACAACAAGTAAATGCTCGATTAACCTTAGAAGGTGTCAGTTCTATGTATCTCAACGTGAACAGCACAGAATCATGTGACGCATTTTCATACGGGCGTGAAATCTACTGTGTACTAAAGCATCAGAAACCAGGAATACGAGAAGAGTTTCAGTGGAAAAAGAGGAAAGGCTTGCAATGGGGTTAGGCAGTTAAGCATATCGAGATGGGCTGGTTTATTTAGGCCTCCTGTAAGCTAATATATTGGATCTACATTAACTTATAGGTAAAGAGAAAGGCACTAGGTTGTTGAGAGATACGTTTATGGCAGCTGGAAGATGACGCAATAAGTATCAGAAGAAATGCAGGACAGTCTTAATGTCTCTCCACTTGCAATCACTGTTAGACAAATGTGTATATGCGAATTTACGTAATATTTAAATTTGCCTCCAATGAAAAAAGGCAGCCGATTGACGGCAGAAGGGCTGTTAACCTACTCGCAGCATCTGGGAGCAGTATGAATCTTCTGTCTGTCTCAGACCGTCGAAGTCAAGATTTGGGCCGAATTGTGCCAGCAGAGCGTATTGATAGCTCACAACATAATAAATATGTGCCTGCTAGAGATGGATATTCTGAGTAAGCTAAGAAGCGTAATTGAATCAGAGCATCATAACTATCGAGAGAAAGATGCTCAGTTTATATGTATAAAATGGAATTGATGCCGAAGCCCGTGATGTCATGAGAACGTCCGCAGTAAGGATGAAATAAACGGTTACCTTGATATCTGAATGCATCTAAAGAAGTGCTTGAGAAGGTGCATGTGATTATGACGAGAAAAGACTCGTTCAGCCGTCAAGTAAGAATGCCTAGCATCTATCCAGATTCATGAACATTATCTAAAGTCTACTGCTTAAAGAAGGTCAGTAGAAACCTTGCCTTTTAGCACATAAATGGAAATAAATATCAGCCAGAGTTAAGTAAAAAATGATCAGTGATAATAAAAATGAATAATGCTATGAATTAAAACGATTGCATAGCCCACCTTGTGTTTCCATTGTAGTGCGATCCTTCCCTTCAGCGAAATGCCAGATTTTTCGTTATAAAATGGCAACAACGCACGACTGTCGTTAAGAAAGTTGCTTTCTTTGCACCGTTCGCAGCGCGCTATAACAGTGTATCACTAACTGCGAACCAAGAATATGGCGTCTAGGGTTTTTTCCTCTAGAGAACTACGTGCTTTTTTACACCGTTCATAGATTATTATACCAGTTCGCGTATCGTTGTGCTGCATGTCGTCTTCCCATGCCGATTTATGACATTCAGCTAATTGCCGTAAGCAGCGGTGTGTTTATGGATACTGCACACTGTCCTGTCATGGCCGTCCATGCCATTAAATTAATAGTTAGGTACGGCATTAAGACGGAGGTATCACAAATTGCTACGATGAAACTGTATCATTCTGCGAGTAACAATATCTGTATTGGTCGCTGGACTCCAAGTTCGTTTGTTTGGTGTTTCGCTGAGCGCTGTAGTCGTGCAGTAAGTCGTTTCTAACCTCCTACGTTTTTCGCAGACTGTACTTTTACCATGACGATCACATGGCAGCGTTTTGACCAGTTAGCCGCAATAAATTAGTAGTCATTTTTTGGTAACCTGCATGGCCTAATCTTGTACCTGTCAGTCTTAGAATTTCTTTGAACGTGACCACTAAAGGCTCCGTTTCGCCAATGTGCGCGACTGTCACTGTCTTTTGTCGAAGGTTCGTTATTCCGGTGGTACAGGTTTCTGCGTATTGCTCGAAAAGTGGTCAGTGGATCGCAGCAACGGAGTGTACAGAATTTCTCGTAACTTCTGCTTCTAAAGGAATTTTGTGTTTGACGAACATTCCTTCGTATTTGGCAGAACATTTCTTAGGAAACGAGTTTTTCCCGCGTCCCTCCTTGAGGATTTATGAAGAATCATCACTTCATATGATTCTCAGACTGAGCTGCTCCGTAAAACTTCACTAAAAGGCAGTGCAAATGTCTGTGGGCAAAGCAGTGCAGATGTCTTTCCTGATCTAACAGTATTCTCATTATGTCGCACATGATTGCTTACTTCGGATTAACTCTGATCACACTTTTCTTCCAACCAAAGTATTTTTTAGGAACAGAAGCTCGTTTTGCTTTTTTACTTTACAAAATTAGTTTTGGTAACGTAGTCCTTTTTAAATCGTATGCATATTGTTTTACATACTGTGACTGCCGTAAGTCTGGTTTTTCAGGTATCCAAGTTCTTGCGTGCTTTCGACGAATATATCGCTGTCGGCGCGTTTAGGGATCTCTCGTACTCGAAGTTTAGCCGCTGCGTTTATAGAGCATCTCACTGCAAAGATTCCATCGGTCTGCGGATGCCAACTATCGATGTATTATGTGAAAAACCGAATTTTGCGCGAAAGGCTTATGGTATGATTTAATTTTTGTTGTTTCATGATAATTTGCTAGAATTGATGTTTTAGTTCGATGATGATTGGAAACATCATTTGCTGATATCCCTGAACGTTCGTACTGCGGTGGTAAGAAAGGTGTCTAGGCGTGTATGCGTATATGTTAAAATAGTTATTCAGGCCCACGAATGCGATGACGATGAATGCGACGCTAGCGCACTACCCGTAAAGTCTTAAATTTAGCATCCGATGTATCGTCGCGTACATGTTATGTTGTTATGGCTAGACTCACCAAGTTGACGGTCATTTCGTGCGCTTGTCAGCGTAACACAATCAAAGATTATGAACTGCGGTGTTTTGCTGATGTTAGGTAAGCATTAGCTGTTTGAAAGGTTGTTGTTGTCATCGTCATCCAGGATCATAGAGCT